CAACGCAAGAATTCTGAGGCCTTTTCACACTAGCCCTGTTTACACTATGCCCTTAAAGCGGTTTGGAACAGGTTTAGAAATAAATCAGTTTACGTGTGGACAATTTCAATGCGGTTTAAACCGACTTATCTCAAACCACCTCAGGAGGTGGTTTGAGATAATCAAACCGGTTTAAGTACTGGCAGGGGCGTAGCTGGACCTTGGGTGATGGTAGGGCAAAGAGACAAAATGGCGCACGAAGCGTGCCGCAATTTTGGCCACACCCCTTTTACGTAACAAAATGGAAGCATTTTCCTGCAAGCTGAGCGAAATCAGAGTGAAATTATCATGTATATAGCTTTAAAAAGAGCTGTGGTTATCAGCCACCCCCTTTTGTTATTGTAAGAACAATGAATATCATCTTTTGGGTTATAATTTCAATGAATATAATTATAAGGCCACTTTGATGGTAGGGCCCAGGCCCCCTCAGGCCCTACCTCAGCTACGCCCCTGAGTACTGGAGCAGCTGTATTATGTATGCAATGTAGCATTGTAAACCGATTCAACCACATTTTCGTGTGGACACAATTAAGCTGGTTTCTAAACCGCTTTGATCCAAACTGGTTTGTAGTGTAAACGGGGCTACTGGCACATTTTTCAAAGCGCTTTGATGCGCTTTGTTGATACAGCTGAAATAATGCGCATTGATCGTGTTCACACTAGCAGCTGAATTATGTATCATTTTGTGTTCTTGTTGCCATTGGTTTACATTGATCGAAGCGCATCACTTCACATCAATCCACTTCTGGAGGTGAAGTGAGACTGATGCGCATCAATGCGCATTAATTGAAAACCACTCTAGTGTGAACACGATTAATGCGCATCAATGCGCATTACTTTGGCCAGTGTGAAAAGGCCTTTAATTACGTATACCAATGAGTATAACCACACCCACCAACCCCTAGTCTATATACGACAGTACAGGAGACCAGCCTCAGTCAAGGAATCTGATGAAGAGACTCAAGTGCACTCTACACTACTGGAATATGGACATGGGCGGTTGCAGAAATTTGGTTTGACCTGGGCATCAATAATTAGTGGGTGTGGTTTCATAAAATTTTTGCAAGGAAAATGGAAAATACTGATCTATAACTTCATTGAGATGGTTTCTTAGGATAAAACAAAGAAGCCTGTTGAACTATCACAGTTTACACTGGATGCCCACACCAGAATCATGAATACAATTATTGGTCAAAAAGTCAACCTGGGCATTGCCCCCTAATGCCCAGGCCTGCAACCGCCTATGAATATGGAAGGTATACCTGTACATGTACATGTACCATATTTGCTCAAATAAATGCTCATGACTAATATTTTCCAACTATAAATATGCATATTTTAATCAGTATAAGTGCCCTTGCATTTAGATTGTCCTAGATAAACGCCCAGGCATTTAATCGAGCAAATATGGTAGACGTAGATGTAAGTGTATTGATTAAAAGTTATCACTTGTTATATAAATTGATAGATGTACATGAAATAAGTAATAATTATATTTTTTGTAGACGTTATGGCTTTGGAAGATCAGTTCCAACACAAAAAGTAAAAGAAAAACAATTTTTTCATTAACATTTTTCATTATTTATTTCTACACGCTCTTATTTTAATTCCTAGTCTGACGATGATAAGAGGAAAGCTGTAGCAGGTGCTCTTGGTGGGGGAGAAGCTGAGGGGGACAAGAGTGAGAGACAGAGAGAGGAGGAGGAGAAGAGAATAAAGGCACTCATGAAGGGAATGGCATCAGCTGGAACTGATGATGTCAGTATATACATGTACTTGAGTAGAACATCTATTAATGGACACTTTCTGTAGCAGACACCTTCATTTAATATTTACATGTACATGTAGCACCTAATGTACCAATTATGCACATTTTTTACTCTAAAATAGCCTCCTACATGTACATGTACATGTACATTTACATTGTATGTACAGGGTCTCAGGCCAAATTTTGCCAAAATTGAAAAAGAGAGAATTTTTCACTTTTATATTTTTCCTGATACATATACATGTACTTACGTTGTACAGAAAGTATTATTTCTTTCCTTCTCACTCTCTCTCTCTCTCTCTCTCCATTTTTCTCTTTCTCCAGATCCTCTCCAGTGCTATGGTTGGTTCTATTGTTGGTATGCAATCATCAGAAATATTGCAAGTTGCCTCTGAATACGAAGTTAAAGTATGTGTGTATACATGTACATTAATGCATAATGAACTTACTGTAAATGTCTCTCTCAGATGAGAGGGTTTAGTAAACTACATGCACAAAAATACTGTATATTATGTTCTATTATTTATCTGTCTATTTTTAACTGAGACACACATGAAATGTCATGAATGTAACATGTATACTGTATATATGTATTTTTATTAATAGCTTAGTTATAATGGTGAAAAAAAACTTACTGTAAATGTAAATGTACAAATGTATGTAATTCTTCTTTCTCTTTCACGTCACACTTTCTGTGTCTATTCTGTCTCTTATTTGTCCATTGTCTTTTCCCCATGTACATGTATACCTACTTAACATGTATAGTTAATGTATAGTTAATTTCCTACCCTCCTCCCATCTCTCTCTCTCTTTCCCCTTCCACTTTAAATTTTTTCTTTTTACCAATTCCTCTTCTTTCTTTCCCCTCCCTCCCTCCGTCTCTCCCTTAGCGTGCTGATTTAGAGTCTGCTCAACCATCAGAGAAGGTCTTGGGTGCTCAGTCTCACCTTCGTCTTGTGACTGGACTACAGAAACAAATTGCCTCCTTTGAAAAGAAATGCTCCGAGGTGAGACATGCCCACCATCGCTAATTAACCACACCCACATTAATTTGACCACACCCTCATAGGTTCAAGCTAAACATGATGAGTTGTATTCTGAGTATACTGAGGCTCAAGAGGAACTGGCAGAGGTGGGTGTAGTTTTGTTGTTATGGTAACACGTGACGTTGAGTACATGTACATGTACACGTGTGTAGGTTATTAAGAGGAAGGAAAGGATAGCTAGAGAAATGGAGAAACTTAACGAAATGGAAAATGAAGAGAATGCAGAGTAAGGGAGGAAGGGAGTGGCATGGACGTTGCATATTTTTAACTTTTATCGTGTGAATTTGTGTATATTTGGGTGGGGCAAGAATAATTCAATCTGCCATTGATCTACATGTACATATAATGTGTGTAGATACATTTATTCTTGCTGTTAGTGATTAACTGTTATTAGAGTATTGAATCAGTTGAGGTCACTCGTATCTATGAATGAGAGCTTGAAGAAACAAGAAACACAATTCAAAGCACACTGTAAAGTAAGTTAATAACTATTGATAACTATTAATAACTACTAATAATTATTAATAAATATTAATAATCATTAATAACTATCAATAACTAGGAAGAGAAGGAGAGGTTAAGTGGTCTCATAGCTCAGTTGAAGCATGGAGATGATGAGAGTGAAGACTCTGTAAGTTAATCAATCAATGACAGACACAAATCACATCATATTCTATACTGTGTTGATACTGAAAAATTTTGTCCACTTAAAATTTTTGCAAATTCTTTATCATAATATAAAATAACTGTATATGGGCATGGTTTTTTGGAAAAATTTTTCTCAAATTTTGTGTTTCTAAATTTTGCTGTAAATTATGCAATATGTGCATGTACATGTATTTCATATTCACATGGCTATCACATGTATACTGGTTACTGTAGGAGAGGGTAACTTCACTAAAGACTCTTCTTCAAACTGACCAAGAGAAACTACAGAAAATTAGAACTTTACTGGTAAGTGTGATTTATATTAAATACACATGTACATGTTTTATTGTATATAATGTTTCATAATTCTACATGTACTGTGTCTTTGCATATGTACATATACATGTACTTGCAGTTAAGTTTCAGTGTAGAGATTTAGTTTTATTTTCATAATTATTATTATTTTGTTAGGCTCGCAAGAATAGGGAGATAGCTCAGTTGCAGAGGAAGATTGATGAAATACCTTCAAGAGCTGAACTGACTCAATATCAAAGGAGATTCATTGAACTATACAGTCAAGGTACAGCATTTGTTAAGCATAAAAGTTATGACCATTTTTAAAATTTGGTAATGTTTTAAAAATACCCAAGGCTATTAGTATAACACGGTAGCGTTACTAAGTAGGATTCACCCCCAAACAAAATGGCTGCCTTGACTTTTGCAGCCTTGCTATACCGGGAAAATGAGCTCCTGTGCTTACCAGACTTCTTAGAGGACCTTATCTTAATAGCCCATGGTTTTTTCAGAAAAATGGCTCTGAAATCACCCCAAATTTTATTACATTGTCTAATACATATTGATGTCCTTATGCTGTGTAGAAAGTTTGAGCTGATTCAGACTTTAAATTTTCAAGTTACGGCCATTTTAAGAATATACCAAAATTTTGCTATAGCCCATGGTTTTTTCTGAAAAATGGCTGTGAAATCACCCCAAATTTTATTACATTGTCTAATACTAGTTGATGTTTTTATGCTGTGTAGAAAGTTTGAGCTGATACCGACTTCAATTTTTCAAGTTACAGCCATTTTAAGAAAATGTCAAAATTTTGAAAAATACCCAAGGCTATATATAGCCCATGGTTTTTTCTGAAAAATGGCTCCAAAATCACCCCAAATTTTTATTACATTTTCTGATACATATTGATGTCCTTTTGCTTTGTAGAAGTTTGAGCTGATTCCGACTTCAATTTTTCAAGTTACGGCCATTTTAAGAATATACCAAAATTTTGAAAAATACCCAAGGCTATAGCCCATGGTTTTTTGTGAAAAATGGCTCCGAAATCACCCCAAATTTTTATTACATTTTCTGATACATATTGATGTTTTTATGCTGTGTAGAAAGTTTGAGCTGATTCCGCCTTCAATTTTTCAAGTTCAGCCTTCAATTTTTCAAGTTACAGTCATTTAAAAAACAGCCATTTTCTGAAAAATACCCAAGGCTGCAGCCATGTTTTTTTTCTAAAAAAATGGCTCCGAAGTCACCCTCAATTTTTATCACATTTTCTATTACATATTGATGTCCTTATGCTATGTAGAAAGTTTGAGCTGATTCCGACAAATAATTTTTGACTTATGAGCATTTTAAGCAATTTTTTTAAAACCAAAGGCCCATATGGCATTCGACCACATTCATATTACTATGCTCCAATGCTTCTCTCCTTTTGTTCTCTTCTCACAGTGTCCTCCATGTTAACTGAAACTAAACAATACTTTACACTTTACAATACACTTGAGGATCAGAAAGCTTACATGGAGAAAGAAGTAATAATAATTATTATAACAATTAGATGTATGTACACTTTAAATCTTATTAGGTTGGAATATTGACTTCAATTCATGAGAAATTTGATTTGTAAGATCATTCATAATCATTATTATTTTACCTTTCATTTTCATTTCATTATTTTAATCTTTCATTTTCTTATTTATGTTATACAGTAATCTCTTTTTCTCTTTCATCCTCTCTTCTTATCATTATTATTCTTTCTATTTCTTCCTTATTTATTGTCATTTTCCTTTCCTTTCTCTTTCCACTAGAGCAATGAGTTCTGATAAGAATAAGGAGTTGTTCTTACAGCAAGTCCAGCAGATATTGGACGGTATCAAGCAAGACAAGGAGCAGTTGGGTCAGAGATGTGTCGAGGAGAGGAAAGAGAAAGATCGACTGACAACCATCCATCTTGATCTCATTGACAAGCAAAGGAAGTATTACAAAACTGTTAAAGACTTTCAAGAAGTAAGAGAAAAAGAGAAGGATATAGTTACTCTTTTTTAATTCTACCTCTCTATGTGTCTCCTTATTTCTTTTCTTTCTTTTCTAGGAGTGTCGCAAAAATGAAACGCTGTTGTCAAAAATTAAAACTAAAAATCGCTAGACCTCGTGATAATTTAAGGGCTAGAAATACAATATAAAATTGCTGTTGTGTGTTACTTTAGTTATTGATAAAGTTTGTGTCAATTGAATATTTTTAAACGAACATCCTGCTTCAGCTCTCCCTACATGTATACTTACTTCAGTTTGGCAGTTTAGTAATTATGGATATTCTGAGGTATGCAGTGAAAAGATCATATGTTTGCAAAAAATATAAATATCAGACACTGCTACAGATTTAGTTTTTTAAATACAATTACAAATAAAATTACGTTTCTTTAAAAGTTAAAACTATTATCATGTATTATGATAATTAGACTATATTTAATGTCCATATATATCTAGATACTGTCTATCAAAAGATGCTAGAGTATACAGTGTGTGTATAATGTATCTAATCTCACAATAGCAGCTATATAAAAACTCAGTCAGGCCTGCCTGACTGAGTGACTATACTAAAAACTACATGTATGTTCAAAAGCAGCAAAAATCTAACTTTTAAAGTTTAACTTAAAGCCTCTGGATCAAAATACACATCCAGGTTTTTTGACATTTTGATGTACTCTGTGATCAATTTCTTCTCTTCATCTTCACTTTCACAGGATTGAGAAACTTGCCTTCCTACCTCAAAAATCTTTCTGGCCAGTTGTCGTCTGGGCTCTTGAGTATCTCTTTTGCTCTCATACCATGACAGAATGATTCTATTTATGGTAATGTCATCAGCTTTGAGATCTTTAACATCATCAGTGCCGTTAAAAGCTTTTATAATGGCATGTAAATGAACCGGTGCATTTTTGGAAGCAAATGAAGCAATCTTAGCTGCTACTTCAGCTATTTCCTTTCCCTTTACCTGTGTCAAACCTATCATAAAATGATTAATTTATACCAGCCAAAATATAAATTATAAAAATTTTACCTTCAGTTGACTGAAAGCAATCTTTCACAGGATGCTACAAAAATATATTTTATTATTATTGATTTAAGTGAAGACACAAACTTACCTCCTTCAATGTTTTATTCCAAACCTGTAGAAGTTTAACATCATCACCGGTGGCAGCTTCATTGCATTTAGGGCAGAGCTTGTCATCAGGCAGTATGTGATAGTGACATGAAGGGATGTATTGGAATTTTGAGGGATCATTCTTTGCGCACACTTTGATAAACTTGTAGTTGACAGCAGTAATGCCACGGCTTATAGCACTTTCAGCAATCATTTCGTATGCTTGAACAATTTTGGAGCATATACGTTCATCTGGTTTGCTTAACGTGAGTCTAATAGCTGGGCTATGTGAGACTAATGTGACAGTAATGCCTGTAGCAGGATCCATGATGATGGTTTTGTTTGGCTTTTTTGAAGGAATTAGCTTAGACTCTGGCAACAATTGTAGAAAATATTTTGTGAAAGCAACTTGCTTGAAAACATGAGGCGTATTGATACTAGTAACAATATGAATGGAACGAAAATTAGGAGTAGCATCTGGATCAGCAATACGAGTGAGAGGAACATAATAGAATAAATCATCATTAAAAAGCCCGTGCTCATCTTCCTTCAACTCAACGCTATGCTTTGTTAGCCGTATTGCTAAAGTGAGGGAAACAAGGGCATCCATGTAAGCGAAATAATGCCCATTGAATAGATGTAAGCATGCTGTTTCTGGAACAATACCAAATTCTATTGTTCGAAACTTTCGAAGAATTTCCTTGCTTGGATTTAATAATGATCCTAGATCATTCAAAAACCCTATTGGCTTCACAATAACATATTGGTAATTAGAGTTAATCAGGCTCAGATCCAGGATGCTACCAAAAGACATGTAAAATTTACAAAACTTTTGCAGCGACTCCTCATCTATATTGCATTTTTCTGCCATTGCTTGGAGGTCACATCGAGATATAACCTTCCAATCAAATCGATAAAACAAAGTGCGAAGAAAGATCCAGGCAATGGGAATATCTTCAAATGGTTTTTCGCTGATAATACGCTGGAACTTTTGTTGAAGCCCTTGCAGATCATCATGAGTATGCAAATTGAGTGTTTTAATTTTTTCATTTAAAAGTGACAAAATTCCTACTTGGTCTGCTACTGGCCGTATACCATCTTCCAAATTTTTTACTTTCTCAGTAAGCTCTTCAGATCTACATTGAACATCATGTGTAGCAAACATGGTACAAACTCTTTTTCTAATGCCTTCCTTATCTTCACTCATTTTACATAAACGTAGCAAATAGTGAAGATGAGGTCTCCATTGCATGAGCATTGTAAGATTTTGTCTGCTTCCTTTTTTATCTGTATCTGGTGGTTTTGCAAGGTTTTGAGAATCTCGGTTTAGATCAAGAAAGAGCCACATGTGATGATTGTAGAGATGACCTTGTAGTGCAGCTAAAAAGTGGCGTACAGACTCAGTAAATGTGACATCCCAAATATTGATGAGAGCGATTCCTTCTGGAAGAGACTCTATCAAGAACTGACTCTGAGCTTTGCTTTTGCTATCACTATCAGTGTCAGAATGCTCCAAATTTTTCACAATAAAAGCTTGCTGAGAGAGAAATTGATAAATGAAGCAAAGGTGCTCATCCAAATCTGGTTGCTCAAACTCATAAACATCTGAACACAACACTTGACTGGGGTCATGAAAACGAGGCAACTTTCCTTTTGATAATAATTTTTTTTTAAAGGCAGAAAGTATTACTGGTGCAAAGCAAGACTCTGTTGTAAATTCATTAATAATAGGCTCTTTTAGCACACTCAAACTTGCAGCTACCATTTCATAGAATGCAATTCCCTCAGCTTTTGGCTGTTTTAGTGCACTTCTAACCTGTCGAAAAACGCTTTCTTTTACATTTCCACGAACGCAATTAACGGCGGTTGTTTTTCCACTATCTGGTAAGCCATTAAATGAAAGTACAATTGGCTTAACTTTTGCTTTCAAATCTAAATTTGTGATACACTCTTTTAAATAGCTTGGAGTAACAAGTAAATCTATATAAATGCAAAATAAGAACTTGCTTAAATTATATATCTATATAGCATTATTGTAATCCCATCTGAGTTTGACCGGAAATGGAAGCAGCCGCTTGGAATTTGAAAAATGTAGTTTACGTCACTGATGATTCTTATATAATGATATTCATAAAAGCATGGCCGATATTTTACAGCTACGTGGTTGGCCTGTGTTTCCATAGGCGGCTACAGAATCTTAAATTAACCAGGGCTTATTAGTTATTCATAAGAATTGGGGGTGTGGTCAATTAATAAAATGACAAAAAAATCATTATGATAGCTCACAAAAGCCAATTACCACACTAAAATAACTGTAAAGTGGAGCTGATCATTAGTGTAGACAGTTGTGGCTATAAAAAATGAATTCTAGTGATGATCTCACTCCTAATAATAACAAAACACACCCTTTGGGTGTGGTTTTGGTTGAAAACTACCAGGGCAAAGCCCTGGCTTGCCCGGGCCTATAGCCGCCTATGTGTGTTTCACTCTTAAAATGGCTTTTGTTTGTTCTGATAAGCAGTACAATAGCTGCTGGAGTCAAATAGTCTTCATAAAGACCATAATTATCAGAATATCTCGCTCTGTTAGCTTTTTAAAAGAAGAATAATCAGTTTGGGCGCTACCAAAATCACAAATGCGGTCTTGTAAACTATGACGCAGACAAATTGTCATAAGACGTTATTGGTATGCCGTTGGGTTTATAGGGAGAACCCGGTTTTCAGGGTTCCCAAGGGCTGAGAGACCCAAGACCTGAGATCCTGTGATGGCATTGGGCGACTAAGAACCTGTGAAAGTTTTATCTTTATCCTACATTCCAATAAAAAGTTATTCCAGTTTTTCTCGGGTCAAACTCAGGTTGGGATATAATACCGTATACATCATGCATGTAGATAAATTTACCTTCTAAAGTAGAATCCATTTTTCTGGAGATATTTTTAGCACCAGATTGTTCTGGTAGTGGCAACCCGATTGATTTAAATCCAGTTACTAATTCACTGAAACTCTCCTTGTCCCTCAAATCTTTTATTGACTCTCTTGACTCCTCTGATGATGATCCATCCTGTGATTCATTTTTGTCTTCTTCCAATAAATTTTGATGTGATCCACTTAAACCAGCCATTTTGAAAAAATAATGTAGATCTAGATCTAACCTGGGTGGCAGGGCTAGGTAAACTGGCAAAATAGTGTTGCCTATTATGGTTTTAGGTACTGCCCCGAATTCCACACTACTACACTATGAGGCCCATAGCCAGGGGGGGTGATTGGGGTGACATGTCACCCCCCTTTTGAGTTAGTACCTTTGTTTGCTTAAATCAAACATGTATTTTGGTATTTCATGTGCATTCAGGCCTACTTGTCACCCCCCATTTTATGTAACTCATACTTCGTCACCCCCCTTTTTGTAACCCTGGCTACGGGCCTGTAATATGCTTTGAAATGAAATCCAATTATACTCATTATTATGCTCATATTTTAAGCTACTCAATTATCAACTATCAAGTTACATACACATGTAGTCTATATACATGTATCTGTATATAATTGTAATTATTATAATAGCCACAATCTGAAAATGTTTCAAGTGACTTTGAGTCACTGGAAAATAAAATAGTCTAAGCCTCAGTCTAAGCAAGTGTCTATATATACTCTTGGTCTAAGTCATTGGATTCGCCACACTTGCATAGGCAGGTACTAAGCAGTTGAGTTGTTGCATAGAATACTTGTACTACCACGGTACCACCTGCCATATTGAAACTCATGTAGGGGCCAGAAATTTTGACCCATTATGCTCCAATCATACCTGTTTGCAATATAATGGTGGGTGTTTAATGGCATATAACACCCGTGAGAAAAGTGGTTGAAGGTGTAGCCCGAGACCACTTTTCTCAAGGGTGTTATAGGCCTATAACATCCGCCAGACAGGTAGATACAGACTTCATTGGTTTACTTGTCAAACCACTTTGTCAAAACAAGTAATAACAGTACTACATAAACTTGTTAATCACATGACTCTCATCGTTCTAGTATATAGCAGGAATTGGGTCAAGCAACCTGCAAAGCTAGCTCTGTATAAAAACATGCACATTATACCATCTAAGTTAGCAAAAAGTAATCATTATCATAATCAAAGCATGCATCCATAATTTAGTCAATTAGAATAATTATGCTAGCAACCCATGCAGTATCAATAGTTAATAAGGTATCAGAAGGTCACTCTCAACAGTCAGCAAGTCACAAGACCTCAAAATAATTCAAGAAATAGAAATACAGCGTAAAATTGCTATTATTGTTCTTGACTAATGCGTGTTAGTGTTACTTAGTTATAGATGAAAATTAAGAAGTGCACGTGGATCACATTGTCTTTTCAGACTTTTGACTGTCAAATAAAATATCTACTAATTGCAAAACCAAAAATGAGCGTACAAAATCAGTTATGTCTAGATAGCAATACAGGGAGTGAAAGGGGACACAAAAAATATAAAAGGGCTTAGCATTCTAATTAACTATCTATATAGACATTCCACAAAATAAAATTACATGTAAATGTTCAAAGTTAAAGTTCACTCTTCTTCCCAACTACTTCTGTTGCTGTCCCTCCTTTTCCGGTTCTCTTACTTCTCCTGCTCCTCCTCCTTTTCCTCCTTGTTTTTCATTCTTCATGCTTTTAACAATAGTTAGCAATTGATCCATTGAACTGCGAAGGTCCTTCACCTCCTGAGATACTGAACAGCGTACTTCGAGACGCAGTTCCTTTATTTCCTCAGACAATTGATTCTTAACATCAGCAACAGTTTCCTGTAGTAATTGAATAATTAATAATGAAAGATAAAATGCAGATTCATTCTTCATGCAGTCTCACCTGATCAATTGAAACAGAATTTACAATCTCGTCGATTTTTTGTTTAAAAAAGCTTTGCTGGTTTGGCTTCCTTGCTTCCATAGGTTTGATTAAACTCTTTTTCCATGAGTCCAATGACCTCTTAACTCTCTTTGGCAGTCGTGGACTTTGCAGTAACGACCTTAAAAATTCTTCAATAGGCAGAGTAAATTCAACCTACAAGTATTGTAAGCATAACATTGATCAAAAATAACTTGAAGATATTATTAATTCAGTTCCATACCCTCAGGACTAGTCTGTAAGTATCAGCCGATTTCTGTATTTCCTGAGTGTCACCAACAGCTAAACCAGTCTATATTGTAAAATAGGTTAGTCATATAGCATTAGTTAATAAAGTACAAACGTACCAAAAGATTAAGGAATAGTATGGGCATTAAGACCACAAACACAACTATCAGTGAGAATGCAACCACTGGATACTGTATATCGGGTGAGCTCATTTGATTATTCTGTCTCAATATTGAATCCATATCATACTCTCCCTCCGTCATTATTACTGTTTTCATAATTGTCCTCCATGGAGTAATGAATGGAGTACGCTGGAGAAAAAGTGATAATGTAAATATTTTAATTTAGCAAGTCTTACAATTCCAACTATTCCATCTTGAGGATCATAAAACATCATGTAAAATGGAACTGCAAAGGCAAAGATTAATAGCAAGGCGAGGAGGACAACCTTGACAAAGTTGTTGAAAATTTTGATAAACATGACCACGTATATTCCGACTATTGGTAGCTTCCTTATGGAGAATATTAGTGCAATCCAACTGAGGAATACTGCAATCACTCCAACCTGCCACTGCCATGGACGAGTGCAGTAGCACTCACTGCTACGCACTGATGCAAACATTATGGTCAAGATGAATAGTAAGATCTCAAAGAAGTTAACAGAACTTGTGAAATACTGCAGTCTGAACTGAATCATCTGAAATACTTCCCGCAATATCATGATAGCAGAATAAATTATCAGGCATACACTAGCAAATGATATGTATCTCTGATGTACAGGGTTGTCATCTAAATCAGAATAGAATTAAATCAGTGATAGTTACATGTTTATATATTATTATTATTCACATACCTGGAGAGCAATCAATAAATGTGTTGGTATCATTTCCAAATACCTCCATACCTATTTGTAGGATATTAGGTGGCTCATATAAACTATTTCATAACTTACATGTGGGTGAATTTGGTGAATGAAGAGCGAGAGCAAATGATGTCAATAAAATGACAAACAAAAAGTAAACTGTCAAATTGGAGTAATAGAATTTTCGTCCAATTTTTCTCCATTTTTTATTAAGAAGAGCAGTGGCAAGTGGATGCTGCAGCAAGTCTGCACTTTGTGAATTAGCCTATCAATGATAATTATAATTGATAATAAAGGTATAAACTATTTATGCACTTACAAGAATATTAAGGCAATGATTCTGACTGGAGTATTTTGATCGTTTAGACCATTCTCTATTAACAAAAATCACATCATCATCAACAAAGTTAATAATAAGAATGTTTCCTGTATAATGTAACTTTTCAAAAATTCTTTAAAATGCTCATAACTCAGAATTACTCCATTACCCCATAAATGGCTCCAAAATTACCCCAAATACTGTTATTGTTATTTTAGTATATTCTTACTGATCAAAATCATCAAGAAACTCATAATTAAAAGTAATCTCATGATTAGGATGATCCTGTGGTGCTTTTGTCTTGCAACATCTCTCAAAAATAACTTTAGCTACATCTAAAGATACAATACAATAAGCATAGCCACAGTATGGAATGCATCTACCTGGCATCTTATTAATGATCCTTCTCAATGGTGTTGTGAATTTTGTTTCAGATTTATTAACAACTTCATCCCTTAAGACATTTTTGATGTTGATAGAAATATCATTACTAACAGACGTGGCATCGCTATCAGAACTGTCATCACTGTCATCAGAGCTATCATTGCTTTTATTAGATACATCATCTCTCTTGTCAGAGGCCACACTAGAACTTCTCTTTCTTTTGCAGCACCATATCCTTTGAATGCCAATGTCATCACTTTCATCCAGAGCAGTAAGATTACGTAGTGCTTGCTCCCAATGCTTGTCACTTTTCACTATAGCCATTGCAGCATCTCTAAATTGGAGCACAAAAATTGACACCAATAATAATCCATAACTCATAATAATTATATTAGCCTCACTTGTGCCCTTTCTCTACAGCAATATCAAGAGGATTAAGACCCTTTTTATCACATTTAGTAAAATCAGCATCATCCTGTGCCAGAAATAGTTCAATGACTTGCACACGTCCTACTTTACATGCATTATAAAGGATTGTGTTCTATATAAAAATATTAAATAATAATAATAATAATAATCAATAAATAAGCCACATACATCGTCTTTATCGGTGACATTGACATCAGCTTTATACTTCAGTAACAGTTCAACTAATTTTATATGCCCTTTGTTGTAGGCAATACCAAGTGGTGTATTCTAAATAACAGCAATAATAACAGTGATCATAGTGATAGTAATAATAGCTATGTCTCATACTTTTTCTTTGTCAGGGTGATTAATATTAGCCTCGCCATGCTCCAGTAGCATTTCAACTATTTGTGTGTGTCCTTCTTCACAGGCAATACCAAGTGGTGTTTGCTAATATGATAATTATTATAATTATTATAATTATTAACAACATCAAAAAATAGAAATAATGGTAGGTCTAATCTTACTTTGTTAGCATTAGTGTGATTAATCTTAGCTTTACCATGCTGCTCAACTGTTCGCTGCTACATGATAAATAACAAAAATAACAACAATAATCAATAATATTTTTATGCATTTTGCAAAATAATAGAAAAAATTGGACATAGAGTGGAGTAGTAAAGAGATGAGAAGCATACTAACTCTGATTACAGTGATTAAAAAGAATTCACTTTAACACATTTAGTGCTGTATCATTATAACTTCTTACATTTTTAGTATTAGCATTGTTATCAGCTCCATCATGCTTCAGTAGCAGTTCAACTATTTGTGTAAACCCTTTCTTACAGGCAATACCAAGTGGTGTATCCTATGAACCAATACAATAATAATAATGATAATAATAATAATGATGATGATAATAATAATGATGATAATAATGATGTTTACAAATTGACAAGCACTGCAATAGTACATTGGACCATGTACTACAGTGCACAGATTTGACCCAATTTCTGAGCAACTTAAAAATTGCAAAAAAATTCAATTTTGATTGTCTTTCATAACAAAAATAATATCAATATAATAAGTATTATGTCTCTTACATGGGAATCATCAGTGGCATTGATATTGGCTCCATGCTTCAATAGCAGTTCAACTACTTTTGTATGTCCTTCCATACAAGCCATTACAAGTGGTGTACACTACATAATAATAATGATGATAATGATAATGACGATAATTAAATTTACTATGTCTCATACTTTATCTCTATTTTTGTGATCAATAGCAGCTCCACCATGCTTCAGTATCAGTTCAACTATCTGTGTATGTCCTGGTTCACTGGCATTACCAAGTGGTGTATTCTAGATAGTAATTATTATTATCATCATAACATTGTTACTATGTCAGTTACCTTATTATCATCAGTGACACTGATGTCAGCTCCATGCTTCAGTAGCAATTCAACAACTTGCGGGTGTCCTTCCATACAGGCCATACCAAGTGGTGTGCGCTAGTAACAGTAATATAATAATAACAATAATAATAATAATAATAATAATAATAATAATAATAATAATAATAACTACATGATATGTCTTATACATACGTCATTCTTATTTTTGTGATTCATATCAGTTACACCACGCTGTAGTAGCAATTTAACAATTTCTGCATGTCCTGGTATACTGGCATTACCAAGTGGTGTGTTCTACATAGTAATAATAACAAATAATAATTGAGTCTATCTTCATAGGTTTACAGTAAACATAACAGTCATAATTGTGTGAAGTTTTGAAGTTGTTTGTAAAATTGCATGGTCAAAATTTAATTTTGTGGTAAATTAGTTGCATCTGTGGGCATCTGCAGGCTTAATAGCTATTGCAATCTTTTTTCTTTTTTATACTTAACTGTAAACTGTTACTATATCATTGTTGATATAATACTATGTCAGTTAACTACTAGTAACTCTTACCCTATTATTATCAGTGACATTGACATCAGCTTTATGCTCCAGTAGCAATTGAACTACTTCTGTATGTCCTTCAATACAGGCCACACTAAGTGGTGTACGCTAACATTGTAACAATAATAATGATGATGATAATGATAATAATGATAAGTTTTAATGTGGTGAATGTTGAATATGTCTCATACTTCTTGTTTGTTTTTGTGATTGATATCAGCCCCACCATGCTTCAGTAGCAGTTCAACAACTTTTGTATGCCCTGGTATACTGGCATTACCAAGTGGTGTATTCTACACAATAATAATAAGAATAATAATAATAATATCTCAGGCACTCATCCATCTAATGCTATTGTTGTTTGAAAAATATGTCATTTAAAAATAATTAATATAGCTACTAATACTTCTTTACCCCATTATTGTCAGTGACATCGGTTTTAGCTCCATGCTTCAGTAGTAGGTCAACTATTTGTTCATGTCCTTCTATACAGGTCATACCAAGTGGTGTACGCTACATAATAACAATGATATTAATAGTGTTGGTGATCAACAATATCTATTACTTTATGCTTATTAATGTGAGTGATATCAGCTCCATGCTTCAGTAGCAGTTCAACTACTTGTGTAAATCCTTTTATACAGGCAATACCAAGTGGTGTATCCTACAAGGCAATGATAGTAACTAAATATCATTGATAATTTTTATGTGTCTTACATTGTCATCATCAGTGAAATTGACATCAGATCCATACTTTAGTAGTAGTTCAATTATTTGCACGTGCCCTTCTATACAGGTCATAACAAGTGGTGTACGCTACATCAAAACAATGATATTAATAGTGTTTGTGATCAACAATATCTATTACTTTATGCTTATCAGTGACATTGATATCAGCCCCATGCTTCAGTAGTACTTCAACTATTCCTGTATGTCCTTCCAAACAAGCCATAACAAGTGGTGTACGCTAGATAATAATAATATTAATAGTGTCGTGATCAACAATATCTATTACTTTATGCTTGTTAGCATGGGTGATATCGGCTCCGTGCTTCAGTAACAGTTCAACTACTTGTGCAAATCCTTTCATACAGGCAACACCAAGTGGTGTATCCTATAAGGTAATGATGGTAACTAAATATGATTAATAATTTTTATGTCTCTTACATTGTCATCATCAGTGACATTGACTTCAGATCCATACTCCAGTAGTAGTTCAATTATCTGCATGTGTCCTTCTATACAGGTCATAACAAGTGGTGTACGCTACATCAAAACAATAATAAAAATTATAACAATAATAATAGCAATAATGATGCGATGGTAATCAACTCCTACTTTGTATTTATTTGTGTGTTTGACATCAGCTCCATGCTTCAGTAGCAGTTCAACTACTTGAGTAAATCCTTTAATGCAGGCAACACCAAGTGCTGTATCCTATACATACAGAATAATGATAATGATACAAATATATGAATTATTATCTCTTACGTTGTGACTATCAGTGGCACTAAGATTAGCTCCATGCTTCAGTAGCAGTTCAATTATTTCTGTATGTCCTTCTATACAGGTCATTATAAGTGGTGTGCGCTACAGTAATAATAATTAGTAATGATGATGATGATGATGATGATTGACAATTACTATGTCCCTTACTTTATATTTATTGACATGATTGACATCAGCTCCACCATGCTCCAGTAATAGTTTAACAATTTCTGTGTGTCCACCAATACAGGCAATACCAATCATTGTATCCTACACATTAATGACAACTAATAGTGGTCACTGCCAAAGCAGAGATATATTCCCTATTTTACTAAGGCCCCAAACTCAAATACATGAATAAGTATAATTGGTAATAGCACTTACATTGTCCTTATCAGTGTGATTGATATCAGCTCCATGCTTCAGTAACAGTTTAACTATTTCCATATGTCCTGGTATACTGGCATTACCAAGTGGAGTATTCTACATAATATAATAATAATAATAATAATAATAATAATAATAATAATAATAATAATAATAATAATAATAATAATAATTTACTATTGTATCATAAAAATGACTACTAAACAATTAGTAATAATTCCTCTTACTTGATTGATATCAATGGCATTGATATCAGCTCCGTGGTTCAGTAGTAGTTTCACAATTTCTGTATGTCCTTCTATACAGGCAACACCAAGT